TAGCCTCATAGTGTGCACGCTGATTCTAGTGACAGCTACGATTTAGGCGAAGTAATTCATGGGCTTCAAATTAAGAGGATTAAAGGATTTAGACTTGATTGTTCTTTCCTCCTCCAACCAATTACCTCTATGCCGTTCATTAAAGATGTCGGTTGTTTTTGGTATAAAATATATAATCGGCTGGGGAATTAGGAATGTCAGTGGTTTGCCTGTCTCAATATTAATAATGTGCCAATTTTCGATAATTACCAAGTTTTGTTGGATTCATTGTTTTCAAAGTAGATTCACTCTTACAGTTTCACAGTGTGTAATAAATGCGCTGAGTGTTCAGAGGAATGACAGCTGTGTTGTGGTCTGGTACCCACCGACAGGCTATTCAAATGTCCAGTTGCGGCAGCCGACCATTCCGCCACCATAATATACTGCCCTTGAAGCATGGGAAAATAGATGTCCGTAGATTCGAGCATTGCGCCTTTGGTTGGACTACTTCACCACTCTGCGCCGTTCTTGGTGTTCACTAGCACTATCGTCTGGAATCTTGATTAACTGTGTCTGGTGCGGACTGCTCCATTGTGTGTGCAATAGTCACACTTTCACTTACTTTCGTGCACAGCTTCACCTCGTCGGTACGGTATTTTATGGTTGCGAAATCGAAGGCTTCATTTTACTTTTAAAACTCCCTGTAAAAGGCTCACCATGCAGTGGATATCGTTAGCAAACCGGACTAGAAAGAATTTGGTTTGTTATTTCGTAGATGAGGTTCCAGCGGATCAAGACACTAGCTTCTTGGGACAATTTCTGTCTCTTGGATTAACCACTTCAGTATCAATTGTGGTAGCGGCGGTCCTTTTCATCGTTCTTTGTCTCGGTTGCATCATCTGCTTCTGTTGTTGTCGAAATCGTTCCAATACAAGAACTACCAACTCCTCTACCCCCGTCGTTCACACCACCTTCAACGGAGTCAATCGTACATGCAGTGGTGAAGTCATTGCACCCAATGTAGATCCTTCTTCCCTTCTAAATGGCGTTGGCAAGTCACCTGACGCCTTCCATTCCCAGATACTTCCACCTTCAATTCAGCAACAACAAATGGTGCTTCCGCCAGCAAAGTCTATGGGTGATCTTTTCCATCAAACTCAGCTTTCACCCAACTCCCCAATGCTCAGGCACTTCCAGGAGTATCCTTCAACCCCTCAGCCGCCAACTTCGGGATCATGGAGCACGCAACCCATTTGTTATCCAACGGCTCACCATCAACAGTGGTTTCTACAGCAACAACAAACACAGTCCCACCAACAGCAAGTCAGTCAGCAGTTGCCACTTTCGCCACAGAATCAGGCCTCGAACCGAGCCTCTGGTTGGTTTATTTTGTGATCCAACCTCTCATCCACAACGGTCATCTTTCTACTCTAGGTTATTATCTGTGCAGCATATTCGGTTGTCAACCCAATCTTTTAAAGGCTAGAGAAGAGATATATGTCTGACTACTTTGTAGACCCATTAGTCAACTTAACCAATACGGGGTCTTGGTGTAATTGTAGGTGCTATACCTTCAACGAACGTTCCATCCTGCCCTCAACAGTCACAACAACAATCCACTTTGTTGCATTCAGCTCGCTTTCCATACCAACATCCTGAGACCTCCCCACTTGTAGCTGACGGAGGAATCGTCTACCTTGGTGAAATAGGTGGCGGTTCTGGGAGTGGAGGCTCTCGCCTAGCCTCGGGCACCAGACGTCCTAGGCGTCGTTCCGGCCGTGCCATGGATACTCAGTCCTCGTCCAGTATTGGCTGCGGCCCTTCTACCCGTGGTGCCCAATCTGCTGAGGGTGCACCACGCACTGCGAGTAATAGCTCGCATTCCATCGGCCCCTCATGGTCCTCAAGCCGTGGCACAACCGCCAATAATCCCAGTGCCAACAGTAGCGCCAATATTTGCCCACATCATCACCACCATCATCATCATCGTAGACGCCGTCGACACGGTGGTGGTAGTGGTGGTAGCAGCGGAAAGCAGTCGACCCGGAATCACTCAACCAACAGTAGTGAGAAGATTGCTTTCCCTGTGGAGTTGTAATTGATTTCTAGCCAGGGTAACAATACCATTACCACCCATATCCACGGCAGTGTCATCATCACTTTTTTCGTGAATAGAAATCAGTACTTACTTCTTCCCCTTTACTCCCTCGATTCTATGTAATCTTGCCAAACCGTGAAATGAATAAATGTCTTTTTGTTCAGCTCATTTTCTACTCTCCCTTTCTTACGTTGCTTGGAATTTACTTTTTTTTGCCTTTTTAGGCATGAAACCTGATGTGGCCGCGTGTACAGTGTTGCTTTTATGCTCCCTTGTGATTCATAGGAGTTTGCAAGGTGAAGCATCAAATATGACAGTCAGTATTGAGCTTCAAGGAAAAGCTAATGTAGGCACTGGAAGGGCGTCTGAGAGTATTCACCGAAAAGAATACTCAGGGCTTGACGAAGAAACATTCTTTCTCAACAGTGCAAGTAAGTTACATGCATAACTTTTTTCGCGAATAGGCTTTGAATAACTCGGACTTTTTGAGTTAAGCTGTACACTATTTAGGGACGGGTCACCGGTAAAGTAAAGTCGATCTCAGAATTGTATTCTCTTAACTTTGTCGTGCCTGAGGTCTGTGAAGAATAACACTTTTGTTCCTACGGCCGAAATGCTGCATTGCTTTGTTGTGGAAAATTTAAACGAGCGGGTTGATGTGTGT